CCCATGAGAACAGTAGGAGTCAGTAGGGGGAAGCGGATCAGCTCTAAGATACCCGGTGTACGGCCAGTTTTTCTGAAGGAGGAAAAGGTTGTGAATAAAACCTAGGAGGGTGCCCTAAGCCATGGAAGGAAAACTCCAGAGCAAGCTGACTGAGAGCTGTGCCACAGTAGAAGAGAAGAGATGAATAAGGGGGAGCAGGTATACGTGCAGTTTGAAAAATGCCTGAGGGTCTTAGTGGACCGCAAGAACTAACAGTTCTTTATGTTCCAGGAAGACCTTAGTGGGCACAGAGATACATGAGTCACACAGTTAACACCCGGACCCCAGAAGCCCAGCATTCAAAGAGTCAGGCCGCTGGGGCTCTGCATTTAGAAAGTGTGGGGCTGAGGAAGGGTGCAGGGAGCAGAGGAAGCAAGGAGGGGCCCAGGGCGTGCTCAGCCTCTGCTGTGGGGGTGCCATGGGGGCAGCCAGGCTGCTAGACGGTGGAGGAAGCTTTATGCCCCAGGACTTCCGGTGCAGGGCTGGCTGTGGGAGCGTCCAGACCCCACGGTCCCGGTTGGAGAGCAGAAGCCCCCGCGTGTCCCAGGATGCCCGGCGTGGGAGGGGGCAGGGGCGGGGCTCCGGGGCCAGGGCGGGGCTGGGCAGGACTGCGGAGGCTGCGGGCAAACTGCGGGAAAATGCGAGGCCCAGGGTGTGGGAGCTGGGCTCGGGGGAGGCGGGGCTCCGAGTGGGACCTGGGACCTGGGACCTGAGTCGGGGTTGGAGCCACTTTGGACTCCAGTCTCCGAGAGACCAGGAGCCCCGTGTGAGAGCTCAGAGGGCTCAGGAGTGTCAGACCAGAGGACAGGCATCCCTGGTGACGACACAGCAGCCAGGGAGCAGTGTCCCCAGGGCCAGGCAGGCCGGGTTCCTCCAAGCCGTTAGTGCCCTGGAAAACCTCGCCTGCAGAGGAGCACAGCCTGGCCTTGCTCAACGGGCCCTGAGCCCTGCGGGGCCGCCAGCCCTCCCCGCCCGAGCAGCCCTTGCTCCCTCGGTCCGGTCGCCGCAGGCCGGGCGGGGCTGGCAGTCCTCGAAGGTGGAGAAACCGAGGCCCCGGCTTGGAGGCAGGAGCCCGTGTTCAGCCGGCTCCTTGGAATGCCGTGCTCGCTCACGTGCAGGGGGCCGGCGAGGCTGGGTGCTGCAGGGTGGGCTGGGGTGGGCAGAGCTGCACGGGGGGGGGGGGGTGCACTCCACCCCGTGGGGCCCACGGGTGCCACCACTTCCTGCGTTCATGAAAGGGGACATTCAGATTTTCTCCCCTGTGCTTTCAGTTGCAAAGTTCACATAATTGACCGCTGTGACCGTTCCGGAGCGCGGGTGGGTGGGCCAAGGCATTGACCGCCCACCCCCTTCAGCCGCACCAAGTTTCCACCTTCCCCGAGGACTCTGCCCCCGCCCCGCCCCCACCCCCACCTCCTGTCTCTGGGTCTGTGACCATAGGGACCTCATGGAAGCAGAGCCCTGTAGATCTGTCCCTCTGCCCTGGCCCTTTGCTGAGCGTGACCCCCGCCGGCTCAGCCGTGCCGTGGCCGGTGCCGGAGGCAGGTGTGGGGCCGTCCGTCCCTTTCTGTGGCAGAATAATCCATCTCAGAAGGGCCACCTTGCGTTTCCCTTCATCCACCAAGGGACACTTGGTTGTTTCCCCTTTGGGGCTCCCGTGCGCGGTGCTGCTGTGAATGTGTGTGCAGTACCTGCTCGAGCGGGCACTCGGGTCCGGCCAGGTGCCACCCAGCACCCGCCCCTGAGAGCTGCCGCCGCTCCCCGGGCCCCCCGTGGCCTCTGCCCCCGTGCCCGTGAGCTGGTCAGTCCCTGACCCGGGAACGGCCTTCCTACTCCTCCTGTCCCCGTCTTGTCCCCTACACAGGGAGGCCCACCGAGGGGGGTCAGACCCCCTCGGTCCCTGTGCCCTGCCACTGCTCGGATCTGCTGTCCCACCGGCAGACCCTTCGCTCGCCCTTCCCCGGGACCCGGAATGACGCCCAGCCATGCCCAGGAGGCTCAGCTGGCGGTTCCTGACGAGACTGCCGCCCTCCCCTGCCCCCATCCCCCTCCTGGCTTGCTCCCCGTGACTTTATCATCCGCTGGACCACATGGCTGATTGATAGTGTTGATTCTCCCCTGCAGCGTCCCCGCACGAGGGCAGGGGTGGTCTCGGCTTGCTCACCGCTCTGTCTCTGGCAGCACCGGGCCTCGCCTGGTGCCAGATTCCCCCCGCCCCCGCCCTGTTCACACCCCTGCCCTGATCCCAGCACCCGTGTCTGGAATGGTGTTGGCGCGTCACTTCTTCGGGCCAAGCGTCACCAGCCCCAGCTGCTGCTCCGTTCGGTGCGTCTGCAGCCCCCTCCCCCCTGCGCACCTTGCTGCAAACCCTCGGTGGCCCTGCTTGGGACCACAGGCTCATGGCCGTGTGAGTGGCAGGGTGGGCACCTGGTGGCCCAGTGAGGACACACCCAGCCGGCCCTCCTGGTGTGGCTCCAGCACACAGTAGGCGCTCTGTAAATGCCTTGCTGACCGCACATTGAATCCCTCCGGGGTCCTCACTCTGGGAACTGGGGAGCCGGTCTCTGGGGCCCTTGCCTAGGACTCGCGCATCTTCACTGCCTTTCCAGGCCTTCCTGTGGCCCCTACTGGGTCCTTCTCCTTGAGGCCGTCTACCTGGCCACCCTATTTTGGGATCAGTGACATCTCAGGACACATGTCTGTCCCTTGGGTCACCTGGGTAGTGACCCAGTTCTCAGAAAACGTAGTAATACGGCACCAGAGTGGCCACGTTCTGGAACAGCCAGTCCGTGGCAGAGTCCTCCACATTCAGCTCTGCTGCACTTGTTTATTCATTCGGCAAACACCCCTTGAGACCCGGAGTGCACCAGGCCCTCCTTACACTGCCCCTCCCCTGCCCGCCCCCTGTGCCCTCCCCCGTGCTGAGACTCCTCACCGTCATCACTTGCTCACCTGCCTCCCACCCCCGGGGAGATGCGTGCTGCCCGAGGGTAAGACCTGTGTCTTATTGACCGCGGTGCCCCAGTGCCCAGCATGGGGCCTGACATACCGCCATTGCCCAATAAATGCCTGTCGAGTGAGCCGGGGAGGCAGCCACCTTAGTTTCAGGAAGGGAGTGGGTTGGGGGAGCCTGGGGCTAGCTGTGGAGTACAGAGGCGGCCCAGGATGGGGAACGGGCAGGTGGGGCAGCACCCACGGAGCCTGCCCTTCACCTTGGCCGCTTGGCAAGGGTGTTCTCCGGCAGTGCCCTGACCCCAGTGCTGGGACAGAATAGTGTATCAGCTGGGGGCTCTTCGGGGCTCCTGCACCCCCGTCCTTGGCTTGTATGTGGGCGGGATGGGACAGGGGGCTCGCCCCGATGCAAGGGGGTCTGGCTGTAGTTTACCCCGAGGTGCCTCTTGCCCTTCCAGTAAAACACCAGTGATCCTTTGTGGCATCGACAGTGCCAGTCTCCAGGGCAGGTGGTCTGGTGCAGGGTCTTGCCGCCTCTCGAAGTCCCAGGGCCCAGGGCTGGAGCGGGGACAGTGCGGGGTCGCCCCCACCTCCCAGGCTCTGGGGGTAGAGCATATTGGCTAAGCTGGGGGTGCTCCAGAGAGACTGAGGCAGTCGGCCTGGTGGGGTGCACTGAGGGTCTGCCTGGAGGGGCCCTGGCTCCTGCCGCATCGTGTCCTGCGTGCCAGCCTGAATTCCTCTCTTCTGTGAGCCCTCTGCCCGCCTCTTCACGGCCTGCTTCCACTTGGCCCCCGGTCTCTGCTCCCTGGGCACCCTTCACTGGCAGCCCCTCCAGGGACAGGTGCCTCCTGGGCCCTTGAGGCCCCCAGCCCACCCCTCTCCGGCTCTTAGGACCCTGGTTGAAAACCATCCATCCCCTGGATCAAGATCCACCAGGATCTACCGAGTCTGGTCCAGCCTCTCACGTCCAGATTGGGGTTCAAATCCAGGCTCCACCTGTCACCACCAGCCTCCTCCTGCAGCCTCCGTTTCCTCAGCTGCAGAGCGGGGACACAGGGAATTTGAGGAGGACAGGGTGGTGATGCAGGGCGCCCTGTACACTCTGCTCCCCCTGTGTCTCCCGCCCCTTCCCAGCACGAGGTTTGCTGGTCACGTGAACGAGAGGACGCATGTGCAGTGGGCCTAGCAATGTGTCTAGGACGAGGAATCCGCCTGCCCTCCTGCTGGGGCCAGGGGACCCCGGGGCAGCACCCACCCGGGCTCCCTGCTCCTACATAGCCCAGCTACCCTTTGACCTTAGGCATGCAGGGGCCAGGCGGGGGTGTGGGACACGGCACCCCAGCCCTTCCCCGGCAGCCACGTCAGTCGGCCACCGGGGCACCCGCCTGGCCCCGCCTGGGTTTTCCCGAAGTCCAGGTGAGGGGTGAGTTGTTGGGCACCCGAGTGACGGGACCCACATGACAGGTGGCCACTGGGGGCCTGATTCATGGCTTTCTGGGAAGTGGGTTAACGGGATCCCAGGGCACAGGGCCTGGTCAGGTCTCCTGGCTGAGTCACAGTGGCCCCTGGAGGAAGGAGCCGTTACTGAGCCTCTGGGCAGCCCCCATCTCTCCCCAAAGCCCTGGGGCCTCCCCAAGGCCCCACACCCTAGGCCTTCCCTAGGACCATCCCAGTCAATGTCAAGGCCACTGGCCTGCACCTCTGGGTCTGGGTCCTGCTCCTCCAGAGGCCAGATTTTGGGCCCACAGCTGGAGCCGAGGCCCTGGGCCCCCAAACCAGAGCCCCGAGCCCGTGCTCAGCTAGAGCCCCCACCCGGACCCCTTAACGGCTCGTTTCCTCCCCGAAGTCCCACCCCTCCCGTGACCTACAGCCTGGGGTGGCCAGACAGAGCCACTCACTCACTTGGGGGACTGGTCCAACGGCATTCCACCTCCCAGGATAAAACCTGGGGTGACCCGTGGGGAGCTCTGCACACAGCTCTCCCAGCCGTGCCTGCGCCCCCACTGGCCATGGTGGTTTCCAGAACGCCCCCTGCCCTGGGTGGAGGCTGTCTCCGGATCCTAACCCCCCTGCTGCTTCTGGCTTCTGCAGGTGAGTCCCGAGGACCCGCTGCGCCTCCCTCGTCTTTCCCCCAGGGCCTCCCCCCTGCCCCCTACTCAGCACTGGCCCTCCAGGCCCTGGCTAGACGCGGCCTCCCCCACCCCGCTCCCCCTCGCTTTGGTGCCCGCCTGCCCTGGGCCACGTCCTGTGGCTGCCAGCAGAGGGCGTATCCGCTCGCCTCAGTCCTGTTGTGTCCAGCGGCTTGCCCCCCCCCGCCCCCGGCCCGTGGGAGCGTGGGTTTCCTTCTGGGCCGCAGGCTTGGGGCTTGAGAGGGTCTCTGGCCGCGGCAGGTGTGTGCTCCCCCGCCCTCGCCCGCCGAGAGGTGCCAGGCCGCCGGACCGGAAGCTGGTGGGAGGGTAGGGCCGCGGCTTAGAGCCGAGCCTGAGGCTTGTGCCAGCCCTGCCCAGGCTCCGGGAAATGCCCCACCCGGGACAGACACCGGGCACCGGGGGCTCCTCTCTGCTGGCCTGACCTTTCCTTCTCTTGCCCTCAGCCTCCGTCCGTGCTGCCAGCATACCTGGTGAGTAGGCGGCCCTGAGCGGGGGGCCCTGAGCGGGGGGCTGCGTCTGGGGCTGTCTGTGGGGTAGCAGGACAGAAAGGGGCGGTGGGCCAAGAGGGGAGTCGAGCAGGAGAAGAAAGCAGGCAGCGAGGAAAGGAGGGCCCGGGGGGGAGGGGCACCAGCAGGTGAGAGGGGCCCGGAGGCCAGCCCGTGGGGAGGGGAGCGAGTAGCGTGGGGCACGGGCAGGGCAGGAGGGTTGTGCCCCAGGGAAGACATAAAATGTGACCCTCGTTCGCCAGCGCCCCCCGCCTGTGGGAAGCCCCAGCGGCTGAACCGGATCGTGGGCGGTGAGGACAGCACTGACGCCGAGTGGCCCTGGATTGTGAGCATCCAAAAGAATGGGACCCACCACTGTGCAGGCTCCCTGCTCACCAGCCGCTGGGTGGTCACTGCCGCCCACTGCTTCAAGGGGTACGCATGGCTGGTCGCCTCCGCTTGACCCACCAGGCTTCCTGCCCCAGACCCTGGGCTCCCCACTCAGCGCCAGCCTCCAGGTCTCTGTCCAGCCTTGGAGCCTCTCCGAGAAGAGAGAGCCTGCTTTTGCTTGGGGGCCTTCATTCACACGTGGTCCCCCAGACACTCCCTGCCTGACCCTGGCCCACTGCCTGCGGTTCCTAGCTGACCCCACCCCCTTTCCTATTCCCCCCAGCAACCTGAACAGGCCGTCCCAGTTCTCTGTGCTGCTGGGGGCCTGGCAGCTGGGGAACCCTGGCCCCAGGTCCCAGCAGGTGGGTATCGCCTGGGTGCAGTCCCATCCCGTGTACTCCTGGAAAGAGGGCTCCCGTGCGGACATCGCCCTGGTGCGCCTCCAGCACCCCATCCACTTCTCTGAGCGCATCTTGCCCATCTGCCTGCCTGACTCCTCCGTCCATCTCCCTCCGAACACCCACTGCTGGATTGCAGGCTGGGGGAGTATCCGTGATGGAGGTATGGCTTCTCCCCTCCCTGGTGGCCTGGGGGTGGATGGGGACAGAGGGTGGCAGAAACTCAGAGACACAGGTAGAGTGGGCAGCAAAGGGTAGAAGCCAGAGGCATAGCAGAAGGGAAAAAATAGACTTTTCTGATGACAGAGTTGGAAGAAAAAGTGAGCAGCGATCCAGAGGTGTGAAGTCCCAGAAACCTAGGTGGACAATTATAAGTCCTTTCTGGTTAAAAAGTATCTTGGCTGTGTTCTGAGGGAACAACAGCCACATCACCAAGGCTATGAAGTGATCTAGGAGTGGCTGGAAGGAAGAATGTCTGGGGCCAGGCTGAGTACATGAATATAAAACAGTCCTGAGATTCCAAAGTGGGAACAGGCACCCCTGGTGGCCGTATGCCGTAATTGCAGGCAAAATTCCCAGAAGGAAGCAGGCTCCATAACTGGACTGATTGTCAGACCAAGTCTGGAGGTTTGGAAAACATCATCTAGAGACACAAGGTAGATAAAGTAGGAGGCAGAGAAGCAGAAAAAGGTAGGTAGGTAGGTAGATAGGCAGATAATGGAGGGTGAAAGAATAAAAAGATAATGGGTAAGAAAGGAAAAAGTGTCAGAAGAATGGGACTTTAACCAGATTCCAAAAGAATGAAGAGAAATGACAGTAGGTGTGTAGCGACCCCACCGAGTCTGAGGCTGCAGACAGCCTCCACATAGGCATCCTGCAGGGCTCCTCTGAGGACTGGAATTATGGGCTGGGGAGGGTCTGCAGTCCCCCTAGGGTGTGGGGGGTTCCTCGGGTCCCAGTAACATTCAGCATTAGGGGATCATTTATGGAACACTTCCTCTGTGGCGGTCCCCATGCTGGATAAAGTGGTGCCTGGGGCAGGACAGGCCGGGACCAGTGGTTCTGATCCTTTTGTGGCTATCAGAGAACTCGTTAAAGATTCAGAGTCTCGGGGCACCTGGGGGGCTCAGTCAGTTAAGCGGCCAACTTTGGCTCAGTCATGATCTCGTGGTCTGTGGGTTCAAGCCCCACGTTGGGCTCTGTGCTGACAGCTTAGAGCCTGGAGCCTGTTTCAGATTCTGTGTCTCCCTCTCTCACTGCCCCTCCCCAGCTTGTGCTCTGTCTCTCTCTGTCTCAAAAGTAAATAAAAACGTTAAAAATTAAAAAAAAATAAAGATTCAGAGTCTCAGGCAGCAGGTTTACGTTCAGATCCAGTAGGTCCAGAGGTGGAGTCTTGGAATTTGGGTTTTCCACACACATTTGGGAGTCTGAGGGAGGTGATCCATTAGCCTTTGAGACTAGCCGCTGAGGGAGAATGGAGGGGCAACAAAGAGGGCTTCCCGAGCCTGACCCTGCCCTCCCTGCCCCCAGCACCCCTGCCCCATCCCCAGACCTTGCAGAAACTGGAGGTTCCCCTCATCGACTCGGAAATTTGCAGCCGCCTGTACTGGCGGGGAGCCGGGCAGGGAGCCATCACCGAGGATATGCTGTGTGCTGGCTATCTGGAGGGGCAGCGAGATGCGTGTCTGGTGAGCACCGACCTCCTTCCCAATTTTGTCCCACTGAGCGTCGCCCCCCCCCCCGCCCCCAGTCAGTTTAAACCTGGAAGTCCCCCTAGATGCCTACAAAACCTGGCCTCGGCTCAGCTCGGCCATCTCTCTGATCAGCCACATGGCCATGAGCCAAACGTGTAGTGAGTGCCTTGGGCGAGCCAGGCCCCACTCCCTGGGAGCTGGCCTTCTCCTGAGGGGGTTCCCACACCCTGATCCCCAAGACCGGCTCCAGCCCCATCACCGGGGGAGGTGGGGAGGACAGCAGGCTGGTGTAATGGTCAGCACCCAGGCCTGGATGCTGGAAGATCCTGGTTGTAATTCCTAGTCTGCTGCCCATGGATGCCAGTTGGGGAAAGCCAGTACTTCCTTCTGAGCCTCGGTTTCCTCCCTGTAAGGCAAGCAGCCGTACTCCCTGGCTTGGGGGCTGTGAGGGAGAAGGTCAGGCACAACGTGCTTCTCACCAGAAGTGGGCCTGAGGCCTGCCCAGCCCAGTCCTCCCCGCCCTGCTGGCGTTCCAGCACCATCCTGGGGGGGGCGTGCCCCCTTGCCCCCCACCCCAGGGAACCATCGGCCACACTGTGTCGGGTCCTGGCTCTGTCCAGCCCTGACCCACACGGATCCCTAACCTTCCCGCCTCTCCGCAGGGTGACTCCGGAGGCCCCCTGATGTGCCAGGTGGAGGGCACCTGGCTGCTGGTGGGCATCATCAGCTGGGGCGAGGGCTGTGCCGAGCGCAACCGGCCTGGAGTCTACATCAGCCTGGCCTCCCACCGCTCCTGGGTGATGAGGATCGTGCAAGGGGTGCAGCTCAGCGGGCACTCCCAGGGGAGGGGGGCCGCAGGGGGCGGCCCGCGTTAGGGATCTGGGGAGACGCCTGGCAGGTGCGCTCTCCGCGGCTGTAATTAAGCCATCTGCCTCCGGGGGGCGCCCGCGTGCCGGCACCGAGCGGCCTCCCAGCCCGCCCCGCCCCGCCCTCTGTGTGTATATATCCATGTTAATACTTTTTACAGTTATTTGTAGCCCCGCCCACATCTTATTTATTCCTCCAATTGTAATAAATTATTTATTCCCCCGTCCCTGTTTTTCTCGGCATGACATTGGGAAGCAGGGTACACTTGGGATTAAAATGGGAGAAGGCCGGCATGCGTTTGGTCGCCTGGCCAGGGACCTAGGTGCCCGGTCCACCGGTGCTTCAGCGTGCTGACCTGGCCTTTGCGCTTCCTTTCTATGCCCTCCCTCCACCAGGAGGCCAAAGAGAGAGGAGGCCGGAGGCCAGTGGCCCAGAGACCCAGCTTTGCCGGGGGAAAGGGGGAGCGCGGGCCGCAGGGCCGTTCTGGGCGCGCAGCCGCCCGCTGGGTTCCCAAAACTGGGCTAGCTGGGAGAAGGCCGCCCTGTGAGAGTGGGCGTCCCCTCCCTCCCCTCAGAACCGGACCTCCCGGATGCGGGCAGAGGCGGCCGGGGCCTCCGCACCCCCAGGAGCTGACTCCGGACTGACTCACGGCTGATTCCGGGAGCCGTCCAGCCAAGGAAGGAGCAAAACAACGAGACGGCAGGTCTCCAGGCCCTGCTACGCCTTGGGCTTGACTCACCGGGCCCAGTCCCCGGCTGCGAAGGGGTCTGCCCACTTCCCAGTCGGTTGACACCCCCTTCCCCCAGGACTGCCCTTCCGTCCCCCCCTTCTGCAGCCCGGGCCCTAGCCCCCTGGGCCAGCCCCCCCCTTCTCACCCCCACCCCCACATGGGGGACCCTGTCCCGGCCCACCTGGGGTTCCCTGCAGTGAGCTGTGCGGGCAGAGGGCTCCCTGGTTGACTCGAGTCTGTGAACCCCATGCTCACACAAAGAGCTTCATCCTCGGGGCGCCTGGGGGGCTCAGCTCAGGTCATGATGTCTCGGTTGGTGAGTCCAGGCCCCGCCTCAGTCTGCTGTCAGCACAGAGCCCACTTCCTGTCCCCTGTCCCCCTCTCTCTGCCCCTTCCCTGCCTCAAAAATAAATAAACATTGGTTTTACAAAAAAGAGATTAATTCTAGAGCAACTAGGTCCAGTCCTGCTACAGGAGATGACAGCGCTCTGCTCACCAAGTGTCTCCACCTAGAAATTGGTGACGTGAGTTTTTGAGAAGGCAGCGCCGGCAGCACAGGGCTTTGGCTTGTTTGCTCTTCGGGACCCTCGTGTCCTTTGTTGCCAGGACCTTCTGAGACATTTGCTCATGTAGTTCGGTCACTCTCCTGTCATTACCAGGTCACAGGAGATGCGGGGGGCGGGGGGGTTGGTTTGATTAAAACGCAAACACTGAACCCGCCTGCTGCTCAGCTGGGAACCAGCCTTTTCCTTCGTGTTTCCCGCATCACAGGAAGCGGGTGGTGACTCAGGGGAATCAGAGCCAGGCCCTCCCTCCTGGTCCCCCTGTACCTGCCAGGCCCGGGCCCTCGGGTCTGGCTTCAGCCCCCCACAGTGCCACCTCACCGCCCCCACCCCCCCCACCCCGTCCTCCAGGCCTCTGTTCCTCACCTGCAGGGTCTGCCCCTGCTTCTCCGCCTCCCTCCCCCTGCACCCTCTGCCCCCTTCCTGCCACCGGCTCTCTGTCCCTCCGTTTCTCCCCTGCCTGCGGATCTTACACCCCACCCTCTACCCCCCTTCGCTGAACAGAAGGTCCCCCTCAAATGTCATCCTGATGGAAGCCCCGAGGAGGCGAGGCCCAGAAACATCTGGGGGTGGAGGAGCGGCCTCACAGGGGGGCCTCACAAGGGGCGGGACGCTCGGGGAGGGCAGGCTGGGCCCCGGAGGGGGAACCACACCCGGCTCCCAGCGCAACGGGACATCGGCGTCCCCCCCTAATCAGGATGGGGGTCCAGGGGCTGCAAACGTAGTCAGCCCAGCGCCCGCAGGGTCCACACCAGGATCACAGAGAAGCCCCTCGGCCCGGAAACACACCCCAAACCTGCAGCACCCTGGGTGGGGGGGAGCCCACTGCTTGGTCTCCACTGACTCCACCTGCCTCCGGGGGCCACAGAAGGAGACCCCTGCCAGCTGCCCCCTGAAGGGGATATCCCGGGGGGGCGCGGGGGGCGGGGGAGGCCAACACGCCAACAGCTTCACCTCCCACGTGGAAAGCACCTTTGCAGGGCGCCCTTACCTCCCCAAGGGCAGGGGCGGGCCGTCTGGCCACCATGACAAATGTGACAAATGTGACAAATGTCATTCCGGCAGGAACTCTCCCCTGGGGGCTGTGAGTCTGGCTTCTCCTCCACAGGCTCTTTCCTCAGATCTTTAACCCTTGAGGAGATGTCCGCCCCCACACCTGGGACTTCCCGGCTCTGCTGTTGCATCCAGAACAAGTGTGCAAACACACCCCCCACCACTTCCTGCCCTGGCCCATGCGCCTCCTTGCTTCCTCCACCTCCGACACCACGGAAAGCGCGGTGCTCGCTTCCACTGTCTCCCACAGGTCACGAGAGCCTGGGGACGGAGTGCTGGCCCAGGAGAGGAAAGCGGGTGTCCAAGGCTTTCTGGGGACGACTGTCTTTTTCCTGATGGAAGGGACGTTCAGCTGGCATCCTTTCCCATCCTCTTTCCTCTCCTGGTCTTGGATGTACACGTGATGCTTACGTGCCAGCAGCCACTGTAGCACCACGAGGCTATAAGTCGTTGTGTTATTTTTTTTTAATTTTTTTTTTAATGTTTTGTTTATTTTTAGGAGAGAGAGAGACAGCGTGAGCAGGGGAGGGTCAGAGAGAGAGGGAGTCACAGGCTGAAACAGGCTCCAGACTCTGAGCTGGCAGTCAGCACAGAGCCCGACGCGGGGCTTGAACCCACAAACTGCGAGATCATGACCTAAGCGAAAGTCGGACGCTTAACCGACTAAGCCACCCAGGCGCCCCTGTTGTGTTATTTTTATTAAAAATGTAGGTACATATTTTATGTCTTCTCCCCTGTCCCATTTTTTATTCATTTTTATTGTATGTCACAATTGTATTATTGTATTTTATTAAAGCATATGTTACGGTCTTTTTTTTTTTTTAAATGTTTTATTTATTTTTGAGACAGAGAGAGACAGAATGTGAGAGGGGCAGGGGAAGGGGCAGAGAGACAGGGGGACACAGAATCCGAAGCAGACTCCAGGCTCTGAGCTGTCAGCACAGAGCCTGACGCAGGGCTCAAACCCACAAACATGAGATCATGACCTGAGCTGAAGTCAGAGGCTTAACTGACAAAGCCACCCAGGTGCACTGTTACGGTCTTTTTAAGGTTCCCAGACCCAATTCCAGCGTGGGCAGGGTTGAGCTCCACACGACCACCCGGCCGCCCCCCGCGCTCCCAGCTACAGGCCACAGAGGGAAGGGTCCCCCTCGACGGGCCCTTCCACCTGGTTGGAGCGGCTGCCGGAAGTCAGGGAAACATGCACGTTTACCAGTGTATGGATGGATACGATCCTGTGCGCACACAGGCCGGAGAGGTGGCCTGAGAGCCGCGGAGCAAGCAGCCAACCCCCTTGCATCTCCGACTCCCCACAGCCAGAACCGACACCATGTGAGTGTTTGGGCACCCGGTCTGTGGGGTCTGTGCCGGCAGCCCGAGCAGAGGCAGATAGTCCTAACTCTGGAGAGTCTAAGACGCGCTGCCCTGGGCACTCCGAGCCGCGTTTCTTCCCCACCTGCTCGGTAGCGGTCCCCGCGTGTCCCGCTGTGCTTGGCACCGTCTTGGGTGATGCCTGTCCTGACGTGATCATGGTTAAGAAGAAAATCGCAGGCCCCAAATGGCATCACTCAGGTCAAGTCTCCCACCTGGAGTCTGAGCCCTGAGCTGGGTGCACTTTCCAGCCTGTTCCGGAAACAGAGTCTGGCCAGCACCCGTGAGGTCCTGTGTCCCGGGGCGCTGCCACCCGCCTCAGGCCCCTGCCCTTCCCCTAAGGGACAGCGGCCTTGCCTGCAACCGTCCTTTCTTTTCTTTTGCTCTAAACTTGCCCCCCCCTCCTTCTCATGAAAAATCTCCACTTTGTACAACTCGGAGTTCCCCACTGCCCGATCCGCGAATCGCTTAATAAAGCCAATCCAGTCTTCAAATGTGTGCAGTTGGATTTTGTTTCTTAACATTATCAATACTCTCATAAGCGTCCCGAGAGTTGGGCAGGTTCTGTAGTCTCCCCAACCGTGACTCCGCAAAGCCAAGGGCCCCAGCCCCTCGAGGCCGCCTGATTTCCAAACTCTAGCTGCCCAGCCTGGGGGCGCCATGGACACTAGCTGGTCATGTTGGACTGGATCTCCCAGGTCCAGGGCAGTCCACAGGGGCCCTGGCAACCGTCGCCAACTTGGGGGCCAGTGCCCTCTGGCCGTGTCTCAGAAGCTGGGACGAAGCCGTGCCTAGGAGATGGCTAAGATTTGGGGCATGCGCCCACCCTCTGTGTCACAATAAACTCCCTCAGCCTTTTTGAGGCAAAGGGGACCTGCTTTCAGTCCAGTTAGCCCGCTGTGTCCCCCAGGCCTCTCCCCTAGGGTGGAGGTGGCTGGAACATTCTATGGACAAAGGCCGTGAGGCCTGTCCACGTTCAAGGCCAAGAGCTCAGGGCTGACTGGAGTGGTCCCACTTAACTAAGGGCAGCCTCTTAGTTACGGCCTCGAGGAAGCTGAGAGCAACCTGCTGCCAGGAGGCTTGCTGCCTCAGTCACACACCCAGGATGTTCTGGAATGTCCCCTTGCCATGCAGAGTGGCCCTCAGAGGCCTGCTGCCCCGTCTGCCTTCCTAGGGAAGGGGCTCCTGGGTCCTTCAGAGCCGAGCTCTCCTAGGAACTTTCTCTCTCACTAATCACTTCCCTGTTTTCTTCTGCTCAGGTCTCCAGCTCTTCACTCTCCGTGAGAACCCTTCCAGAAGGCAGCGAAGAGGAGACACAAAGGATTCAAAGGAAACAAAATCCCTCAATTCCTTCACATTTGTGCTTAATATTTGATAATGGCCACGTTTCCTGCGTGAGGCAGCCACCTGGGAGCCGCACCTCTGCCCAGCAGGCCCGAGGCCGCATCGCCCCCCACGGCCACGCCCACGCCCAGGGGCCCTTCCCGTGTGTGCACGTGTCTGTGCGTGTGCACACCTGCGTGCATGCTATTCAGAGCCCATCGCTCAACTCCTGCCCGCGGGGCGACTCCCGAGTCCCCTCTCCCGCCGTGAGAGGGAAGGAGCCTGAACCAACGGCAAACCCGCAGGAAGGTCTTCCCAGCCGCACCTGTGACTGCGCCACAGACACAGGCCCCTTTGTCTTCTCTTCCTCTGGCCCCCAGAGGTGGTGTGTGCAGAGCATGTAGAAGATTGACCTTTCTGATTACGAAACCCCCCCCGACCCCCACTGGCTGCAGACAAAGGAGGTTCTCTTGTGCCTGGTGGTGGAGGGTGGGGGTGGGTCCTGGTCCCGGGGAGGTGGGGGGG